CTTTCATATAGATACAAATACACTATTCCAGTAGCTGCTGTGGATGTTAGAGCAATAAGGATACTTAAGAGAGTCTAACCATTTTGACCTCAGTTTCAAAATATATGCCTCATATGAACCAAGCATGTTTTTTACTTTGGAGAATTTTTTATTTTTGGAGTATTGGCTTGGATTTGTACTGGTCACATCTTTAAAATAATCTCTAGAATTTGTTTTCTTCAAGAATTAAAGTTTACACTAGAAAACAGGTAACTTCACACAAGCATATTTCAATTCCTTAAGACTAATGTAGCACAATTGAATATACTGAAGTCTAGTAAAACTGAAAAAACCTCACAGAAGTTTTACATAATTCTCATAACGAGTTGATTTTGAATTACAGTATGCATTCAATTAACTACATTGGTCTTGAGAAATAAGGAAAAAGAAACACAGCATCATGGCTGCAAAATTGGTCTCTTCCTATAGACTGCTGTTGCTGGGGTGTTTGTTTTTTTTTTTTTTTTTTTTTTGAAAGAAGAGAAAACATCAGTAATTTGTCCTAGCTTTCAAAAGAAACAAAGTATTTTGTTAATCACAGACCTGTTCTAACACCCCAAACTCGGTAGTACGTGGTGCGGCCCTCTAGCCACCCCAGCCATATGGAAATCAATCTGAAGCGCTACAGTAGGAGATCCAGTTTCTTTTTCATAGGGACTGAAGTCCAGTGGACAACTTAATCTCACAAAAACCTGTTGGTGTGTAAGCCTGTGAGGTGAATAAACTATGAGAGTCTTCCTAAAAACAGGTATCTGATGCTAATAGCAAGACCTATATAGCACACTTGCAACGCCTTATGCTAGGTGTAGCCAACTCTTTTAAAACTGCACTTGCCTGGTGAGCAGTGCAAGAATCCAAGTTGGAGGGAGGGATGTGTATTTGTGTTTTATTTTTCTTTGTTTATTTGGTTTTTTAATTCAGCAGACTGCAGAATGTTCTGTCTGTTTACAGGGCACCTGTGAATGCTACAGGCAGACAAGGACAACAGGCCATCTCTCTGTCCATTTTGATTTAATATAAATTTCAAGCATATTGGCAAAAAAATGGTTACAGGCATGACCACGAGTATCGTGGACATCCTTATGCAAAGGTTTAATCAAATTTTTCCAGGGTGTCATGTTGAAAGCTGGTAAAGAGATGTAAGATGCTCTGTTATTACTAACATTATAGCATGGAGATTCTTTTTAAAAATAGGCATGCACATTTTAATTGTACAACTCACCTTCAAGAGGACAAACATATTGTGCAGTAGTCTCTTTTCCAGGATTTGGCTCATCTGAAACAGAACAAAAAAATCCAAGCAGAGGTGTCATCTTTTAGGCTAGCCAATTCCCATTCTTGCTCTGGTTCCTTAAATTCAACATCATTTTTATTGCCATGTCACTGGGTGAATGAACAAGTTAGCAAACTGCACCCATCCCATGCAATGAAGATAAAGACACTGTTTTAGGGCACATGTTTACTTGTGACAAAGAGTTACCCCATTGCTTCAACATGCCCAGTATGGTACTCGCCTTGAGGATTGGGTTCTGTTTTGTAAAATCCTGGGAAATTTTAATTACTGATCCAGTGATAACTGGTTAAGTTGGAGATTCTTCCAACCCATTATATTTTTTCCTTATATTCATCCTGACCTGTTTCTTCAAACATAAACTTGGTGACAAACTACTTAGTGTTCACTGAACAAGCTGAAATAAAATTGTGTATGATTTGCTACTAATATATTTAGATTAGTGAAAAAAACAGTAAGAAGGATTACTGTATTTCAAATAAATTTGTGCTGCCACATTTCTATTTAAATTCATTTTATAAGCTTCTAGCAATTAGAAATATATACACCATTCTAATGAAGAAACCCTGTAAATACAGATATTTTTTAATTTCCTATGAAGCACAAAATTAATCTAGCTTCTGATAAACTTTTATTATTCCACCTGAGCACTGTGTTCTTTAATAAGAATAAAAGAAATCCAGTTCTCTTCCATGTGCACAAAACATAAAAAAGTTCCTACTATCATTATGTTTCATCTTCCTTAGTCTTGTAAAAAATCCAATTTTTGTACAAGACTAATGACAAATAGCAAACTAATGACATTAATTAATTTGCTTTTAAACTAAACATATCTATGTGGCCTGACCTGAAATATTCTCTCAAAAATGAGATCACTTATTTGATTGAACTCAGTATTCCTCACTTTTCAACAAATCTGAGAATTATAATCCCTCACATTCTCAGAAGAGGACAAACATTAATCACTGTGTCTGAAAATCTCCAAATTAGTATCAGTATCTTTGCATATTTCTAGTTACATATATATGTGCACACTTAGAAGACAAAAAAAACCAAATTACAGTGACACTACAAAAACAATGAAGTTTTAAAATAAAGGGATATTGCTTTCTGCCTGACTGTACTCATGATGATGCACCTCTGTGCAGTTTTTTCCCTCACAGAAAGAGGGAAAAATCTTCTGAAGGGTTTAGTTAGTTAGTGATTTTATATCATCAGCCCTTGTTTGTATTTATTTGTTCTACCTGCTCCTGATTTCATGCAATTCTTCAATGCATGTGAAGTAGTTTCTAATTTATTTGGTATCATGAAAGCAAATTAACAACATAATATTAATCCATAGACTAATTTACCTATTAAAAAAAAAAAAAAAGGTAGTATATTTTCAAAGGAAGTCTCACACTATCAGTCTTTGGCTCCTCCTCAAGAAACAGTCCAAGTGTTTGTTGTTGGTGTTCTAGTTATGGACCGCAAAAATTCTGCGTAATCACCAAGAATCACCACTGTCAGTGTTCTTTACTACATTTAGGTATCTTGACTTACTTCTGATTTTATTATAGGTAGCTTTGATATTCAGGGAACAAGATCCATGCATATTCCTTCCTCTTCCAGTTTGGTGTGGAATTTTCAGAAAGAAGAAAGAATATAAACTATAAACTTCTTCTGTGCTCTTCAGCATGGCGGTTTGTTTTGGAATGGCTAAATACATTATGAATTCTCTTCCCATATTTTAATTCTCCTCATATCACAAGTTTTAACGAAATCCATTTTTAGTTTCTCATCTAATGACCATTTGTCACATGAGAAAAAACACTCTCAATGGTACTTGCTGCGTCATCCAATAATGACAACATCTTTTCTTTAGCTTCTTTATTTAAAATCAATTTATATATCAGTTAATTTCAGCCATAAGAAACTGTTCTCTGATAAAATTCCACTATATTGGAATGGTAAACTCTTAACTACTTTTATTTAAGAAAATAATACAACTATGCCCCACAAATTATGACAGAGTTTGAAAACAAGTATCTCTTTCTTTACTATAAAATGAGGACAATGCCATAAAAGTACATAACAAAGCTATAGAAAATGAGAGAACAAACACAGAAAAATAAAAACTCCGTATGGTTTTGCATTAATTGAAATTCTATTACTGGAAATAAAATATTAATAAATGGCTTTATACAAATAAATATATACTGTAATGGGTGAAATGTATCTGAAACATGAATTGTTCCAGTTTCAAAGTTTCAAAGTATGCAAAAAGCCAAAATGATGTGCTATACTGACCAAAGGTTGGTTACAAGAATCTTTATTTTGCAAACTATACAGAAAGAGTAAAAAAGAAAATGCAATATACTTTTCAATAATACATAGGATAAACATTAAATTTAGTATTTAATATGTAGAAATTAATTAAAATAAGAAACTGATTTTCCTTTTAATTAGCGATAGGAAAACAGTGATTCAGGTTTGAACTTGTACAACCCGTAGCAGTACATTATACAGGTCATGTCAATTTTATTGTGGGCAGAAAGCAATAGATATGATATGAATGAAGATGGTGGAGTCCCAAAATGTCTACACAATTAATTAACATGCTAACTTAAATACCGTGATGAAGTAATTTTCTCACAAGTCAAATCTCAAGTGCTACTCTACGCAATAATTATAATTAGTCCACATGGTAATTACATAACAATAGGAAAAAAATTAAAATAACCCATTTTCTTCATTCCAGCAGCAGTACCTATACTGGTATTAATTTGGTAATTGGGTGTGTTTAGCTGTTGCCTAACATCCTATACTGGTATGCATGCTAAAACCTCTCTATTTCTATTTTGCAAGGCACCTTTACAATACGTTTTCTAAGTTTCTGCACTAGTAACAGAAAACAACATGAACTAAGATGCAAAACCTTTTCCTGAATTAAGAAAATAAAGTGTATCATTATACATTTATTAAAAACCACCTTGGGGCAAGTGCCAACACTGTGAAATACAGTCATGTATAAAGGTAATATAATTTTAAGCAAATTTGTCTCGCCATGTAAAATATTTTATGCTAATTTGATTAGAGAGATATACAGACAAAGAATGAGGGCTGAAGCAATGTTTGGGGAAATAATAATAAAACCTGCATGAGCTTGACACGAAAGAAAAAAAAATCAAGGAAGAATAAGAAAAGTTTAGAATTGCAGAATTGGTGCTTGTCCATGCTACTGCTTTTGAAAAAACCCTTCAATAACCTAGCCATTCCTTAACATAAAGCAGAACCATAAATGAAAACACAAAGGAGGACTTCACTTTACTTTTCCCTCCTGATAATTTTTCTCCATTCATTTGGTTAACTAAAGGCTGGTGAGATGCTACTTGTGCACTGAAGTTTTTCTCAGTAATACATTTTTGATTTATTAAATGGACAATTTGCAAAGTCCACAGGGCCTAAAACACAGATAGAACTGAAGTTAAGTTATACTCTGTGTTCTGAAGAGGACATGCACCGTTCCAAGTAAGGGCAAATACCTTTTCACTGGAGCTTTAAAGAGACTGTTTGTCTTTATCGTGTATGTTGTACATTTATACTTTCAGTAGCACGGAACGTTTCTTTCTTCAGGCTAGACTTCCAATATGTTATTTTCAGCTCAGAGGCATTTAAAAATTCAAAAGAACATAATATAATTATTTTTATTTAAACAAAAAAGTCTATGACTCCAGCTGCAACATTTGAAATAATCATACAAAATATACATGTTTGTTAGAATCCTTTTGATCCTGGAGAGCAAAGGGATTTTGTGAAATGTTATCTTGTGAATTTTAGAAAGGTATAATTCATGAACCCCCTAGCATCATCAAATATATCCATCATGATCATCATCATCATCAACATCAACATCATCATCTCCTTCATCTTCATCATCATCTTCAATTTCGTCTTCATCGTTCATTATTTCATCTTCATCATCTTCATCATCTGTCCATTCATGGAAATCACCAGAGGCAAAATCACCCGAAGTCTCTAAATCGATAGCTAAAAATGTGTGACAGTTATAGAGAAGACACATAAGATACACTACATACTTCTAGTACAACATATAAAAGCATATAAAAGGCATACCAGAATATTTTGTTTCAGGACAACTACTTATTTTAAACCACAGTCTGATATAAAAACAAAACATAACACAAAAATTCTTTTATATTAAAAGAAAACCTCTTCAAGAAGGATAAATTTCTTAATGTTAACAAAAGGAGACATATTTTATGGACTTGTAGAACTATGATGAGTGCCAGGAACAACTAAAAGAGATTTAAGTCCAATGCAGAGATGACAATAAGGACTATGGATAATAGACACTGTCTATTTTTCAGTTCTTACATATTATCCTGAACTAGTTAGAACTGCCCATTTAACTAGAAAGGATCCTGGATTGGATAAACAGGCCTGAGTTTGTATGTCAAATACTGAATTAAATTTACACTTTGCTTCAGGCTATGATCTTTTGTTTCAAAAGAAGTGGAAAGAAACAGTAGAAGTCTTTTTTTTAAAAGTAAGGAAAATATTTTTTGCCATTTTTTCTATATGGGACATCAAATAAAAGTGATGTGGGAATTCTTGGAAGAACTTGCACAGTTCTGTAGGGAAGGGAAAAAAAAGGGAATATCTAGTGTGCTAGAACTTTTGACAATTCCTTCAAACATAAAATGAAAAAATGTCAAATTGAATTCACCAGCATGCTGATTGCCCAGAAGGATTTCATCAGGCACTTTGGAGCTTGTCTAATGCCGCTCTAGATAATTTTCTCCAGTTTTATATACACTATGCCAAGCACATACATGAGGTCTACTAATAGCCGATACAGACAGAGTTGCAAAAAATAATCAAGTAATAACAGCATCAAAATATAATTTGCTATTTTTTGTTTCAAAGTCCATGTAGTCAGGTTCCAGATGTGTTCTTACTGAAGAAATTTAACGTGGTTGGCAATCAAAGGGAATAGCACCTCTAAACCAAATGGCACACAGGGTTCTTAACTCACCACACTCTGCCACACCGTCTGTCCTGGATCCCGCCACCTCGTTACCGTACCTATCAACACACCAGCACTGCCCCGCGCCGCCGCGGCACTGCCTCGCTCTGTAGTAGCCATCTTCATCACACAGGGGGAGGTACTGCCCTGTGACACATCAACATGCAATAAGAGTGTCAAAAACTGCCTCTTGACCAATGTGACAACGACAGCAGAAAGTAACCACCTTTTGCCGTTTCCTCATTCCAGACTCTGCACTGACTGGTTTACTATTACTAAATTCAGTTAAGCAAAACGTGACTGAATAGACCAAATGTGGGAGAGAAAATAACATGTATCAATCTTGGACTGATTTCAAGCAATAAAGTGACCAACCTTCCTTTAAATTTTTCACTGATCCTGTAAAACCTACGCCTTACTGCCTGAACATCTCAGTCAAGATTTTCACTGCATTATGGGAACAAGGCCCAGATGTAGCACCCAACTCTGAATAGGATGTTCTATAATCTGTGGAGTAGAAACAAGTCTGAATAGTAAGGGCCAGGCTTCCTGGACCAAAAAGCTATCTGCTACAAGACTCAGGAGAATTTTAATTTAATATATATTTTACAATCCATTTAGTTATCTACTAATATTTAATTACCCCACCACAGAAGACAAATGCAGTGTAACACACCAATTTTATCAATAAAAAATGTAAAAAATATAGATAAATTTGCATTTATATGCAAAATATCTAGGCAAGTTACGCTTTGTCCTGGTTCTGTGTAAAAAGGGGTTCAGGGCAGGACCCACACGGAACAGAACTAGGTACTCGCCTCTCCCCCCCTGAGAGAGAGAGAGACACTTTGGAAAAAAAATGAACAGAAAACGAAAAAGGGAGTTAAGGAAAATAATATACACAAAGATTAGGGGAAAATACAAAAACTAAAATATACAAAACCCTCAGAAATGGTTCCAGGGTCCCATGGAGTGAAAGGACAACCTCCCTCTCTGAGCTCCAAGGCAGGAGTGAAAATAGAACCCACTCCCTGCCTCTTATCAGAGTGTGTGTGGGAAGGGGAGGGAATACAATGGTTCACCCCCACCCGGGGTCCTCCCAGTTGCTGGAAGGTCACACCCCCATTCCAAGCCTCAAACCACAACATGCTTCAAGACAAAAGGGTTCCCTACCAAGAGACACAATGAGGGTCTTATTCTGTGAGGCAGTGACTTGCTCACGGTGGAAGAATCCACTTTTTCATTTAGAACTGAGACTTTTTGAAAGAGATGTTAAAATGTGGACAAACCGCAACGAACCAGATGTTCACATGAAAACCTTTTGAAGTGTACAGTCATCGTTAGAAACCCTCTTTAGCAGAAATTCAGTTTTGACTACTTTGGGCCAAGCCTTTTATTACAGTTTTTATACAGTGGCTAACTGTAAAAATGAAGATTTTACATTTCAGTAATATTGATCCAATATAAATTGATTCACGACACAGATTTCAATTACTTAAAGAATATTACAGTTAAAGGATCATCAGAGTTACTAATTTAGGAGTGCCTTAGACTGTTCCCTCTATAACTGTAAAAATATGCCTCTGGTTATAAACCAGATATAATATCTTTTGGTAGGTAAGGTAATAAAACTAAGTTTAACAGCTTTCAAAAATTTCATAAATTTTCTTGCTGCAATTTACTGCAGTCTGTCTTTGTAGGATTAATATCGATTTTATGTTGCTGTTTCACTAGGGTTATTTATGTAAGCAATAAAACCTTCAAAAGATTGATCTATGGCTCACCTAGGAGCTTCTTTCCTCCTTGCTGCTTCTGAATGTTGCTGAGTTCTGTCTGGCAAGGTGGGTCTAAAATGACATGAAAAATGTTAAACAGATTACACTGCATCCAGGAAAGAAAGCATATGACTAAGTTTTCAGAGTTGGGTACCTTGTAAAGTCACTTTACTGATCTTAAGAAACACACACATCCTGCACTACTCGCCACATTCAAAGCTCTGAAATAAAAGAATTACTGCACCTTGCTACAGCTTCAGAGTTATGAATTAAAGCATCACCATGGATTTTTGCAGAATGCTACTCCCAGTTAACCCAGCTGTCAATGAGTGCCTAGTCACTAGTCTGGAGGACTGAGGAATGCTAGACCAAAATAGTAACTATCACACCCTATTTTATCAGTCTACAGAAATCAGAGTGTGACTGTGAAGCTTGCCTCATGTATTGGCTAGGCTCAGGATGGCTCTTTTAATTCTTTCCCTTTTGTCCTTGTTAGAAGTCATGTTCCAATTTTCTATCTCATGTATTACACTAAAAAAGTAAGAATTTTCTCCACCAAGTCCTGCAACATTGTGATACTATTATAACAATTTAAGACTGAATCCCATTGGTACAAAGCCCCATGTTCAAAAAACTAAGTTAAAAAGAGTGGCCAAACTTTAGATGGCTCTAAGAGGCAGAATAGGCATTAAAATTCAGTTTTCCACTCTTCAGAGTTACAGTTTACTCCTGTTCTCAATAATTTAATTTTCTACTGTCTGTAAAAGCAAGTCACAGTATGCCCCATGAATAGAAGGATAGATGTGAATGCATATATGTTATGGTTGAATAAGTGAAAGAATCAGACAGCAAAGTACTAATCTCTGAACACTGGCACTGCATACTGCATTAGAGCATTGGCACAGAGCATTTCTCATTCTGAAGCAGCAGTATTACTGAGTTTACTCATGTGTCTTTAGCGTGCATTGTTCCCAGACAATATTCCAATAATATCTAACTACAATCTCAGCTTCTACGAATGTTAAATACATTTTTTCATTTTAGTAGACTGCTTATTTAGAATATATCTTTGTCATGCAATTAACTCCAGGCTCCCTTCTGAAATATGGTGAAACGGCTTTTTTTACAGGCACGCAGAAAAAAAAATCTTCTGAGCAGATTTAAAGTGAAGCTGGCCTAGCTCACTGAGGAAGCACACCCACTCAGCAGAGCCCAGTCCCTGTGCAGGGCAACGGATAGGCAAAAATCACTTGAGCTGTGATAGTCCAAAGGAGCCTTTCCTGAATTCCTCCCAAAGGAAAACAAGAGTGCTCATCCTTGTAGCCAGCTGAGCGCAGCGCAAGGTGCACAGAGGAAGGCGGGAACGGCAAGAATATATTGCAATATATATGGAGGTGCCTTCCTTGTGGAAATGCTCAAACTCTGGTGTCAAATGATTGGGGATCAAAACTATATTTCTGGTGAACACAGAACTCTTGGCTGGCACAAATTAGGCTTATACCAAGAAGCCTTTGTTATTATTAATGAGCTCTCTATCTAACAGAGTAAATAGAAATTGGAAGATAGTAATAACCCGTTAGGGAGAGCAGGCTGTTAATTTAGCTTTGCTTTACAATTTATATGCTATTTAGATATCCCATGCATTTAAAGAAGCTTACTAATGTCTAGAGTAGCCTTGACTTTGCTGGGACATTTTTTCACACAAAATCTATAATGATTCTTTTTAAAGTGAAGGCTTTAAAAGCAGGCTCTGCTTTTAAAATACTGTTCACAGGAGACTTAGTGCCAGAACAAACTTTCAAGAGATGTTTTTCCAGACAACCTATTTTCTGTGCATGCTCTTGAAAACCACTGGGACTCGACACTGTGGCATGGGTATCAGATTTTAAGTATTTAGTCTTCAAGTATTTGCTGAGGCTCTATAAAGTTTTACACATTTCTTGTTGTAAGAAGCACTTTGATGATGATCGTGCTGTTATGCTAGCGACGTTCATTACCTTTCAACACTAGGGTTTCTGTGTTACACAATTAATTGTACAGCACTCTCAGGATTCTGAAAATTATTTCTTAAACCAAAAGAATTTCCAATTAAATGGTAATCTAAAAACGTAGTAATTTAAGCACACAAGTACCACAGGCTAGAAAGGCCTAGGACTGTGGAGGACTTGGCAGTGTTAGGTCAGTGCTTGGGCTTGAATGATCTGAAAGGTCCTTTCCAATATAAATGATTCTATTTTATTCTGTTCTATCTTTCTAAAAAGATGGGAAATATGTTGAAGGAGAAGAACTGGTCAAACAGGGAAAATACAGCTATTTTCTTGTATGGGAAAAAATCCTAAATTAGAAACACAGAGTTGCACACATGAGCACTAACATGTGGAAATATAAAAATGGTGGACTGTGTCTAAAGAAAAAAAAAGAATCTTAATTCACAGCTGTAAGTCTTTAGTGGTATAATTACAAAAAGGAATAACCACTAACCAAAAGCTAACAAGGCAATATAAGAAAGTTACTTACCCCAAACTCTTTTCTTCTCAGAAGCTAGGTCTTCAAGATTCACACTTAAGCTTTGCTTCTCAGGATAAAAGCAGCAAAAATTCTTAACAATACTAAACCACTCTGGTGCTTAAAACTGTCAAAGAGAATGGCAGGCTAGAAGTTCAACCAATTCCTTTTGGTTCACAGCATATCGTTTTTTCCTCTCTCCCTAAATCATAATGTTTCCCTCTTTATTTTCCAGTTAGTACCTGACTTTGAAAAAGCTTTCTTTTCTGAATGCATTTAAGTAAAAAAAAGCAGTGTCACTGGACAACCCTTAGGAGTCTTGAGCCAAGGAAAAAAAAAAGCCCTTTACAAAAATCAGCACAGTGTCTTCCTTCAAAGTAGAAATGAACCTGACAACAGCCTTTCTGATAATCTGAATACAAATAAAAGACCTAATCATCTTCGCCCTTAATCTACTTCTGGCATGTGGTTCACTAGTGATTAGGCTGCCGTGTGCCTTCCCTCTGCTTGAGGCCAAGTATGATTGTTCTTGGATAACTGAGGCTTGAACTTTACGGATCTGAAGCATCAATGCTTCACTTCAAGAAGTTTTTCTGGGGACCTCAATTCTGTGTTAAGGCACGTTACATCTTCCTTCAGAACCATCTACTAAATACATTTGTAGTCCTGCACTCTCAAAAGACTGATATAACAAAAATAACGATAATTATAATTTTTCTGTAAGAATGACTAATTTTAGTATCATAAAGAAGTCCTCCAGCTCTGACAGACAAAAGAACTTGTAAGGGAAAGGCACCTAGAGAAGTGCTGGGCTAATGGATCCATGCAGAGGCCTGTAGTAAAGAAATACTTAGGTGCTAAGCATTAATATTCCCAGCAAAACTGGGAGCTCTGCTACACTGAAGCAGTGACACAACAAAACCAAGGCTGTAATAGTGATGAGGTACCAGCAGAAAGAAATTCAACCCATAAAAGGCCAACACTGCAAGTACCTCAGCAATTTGACAAGCACTCAAGTGTTAAGCTAGGGTCAAACAACTAAATATAAGTTCTGAAGATGGGCATTGAAGCACTTGCATGAACTATAGTTGAAACTTGAGGACAACAGCAACCAAAGTGTACAGGAAGACTTGAAAAGAGCACTGGCAAAACGCAGATTTTAAGCATTGCACAAATGTATTATAGGATCTTGGATGTGTCTCAGAAATACTAAACTACACTTAAAGCAGAACAAGGCCAATAACAAATCCAATATGCACCACTGAGACGTACATAAGTGTCTAAGCGTTAGTCAGGGTGGGACAGCTATTACAGGAAGATAGAAAGTATTTTAAGAAGCTGCTTATATTGACTAGAAGTTGTGAGCAACGTGCAGAAATGGGTCTAGTGTGCTGTAATGCTCAAGCAGAAAGAAAGCAAGAGGTGTCTGATCCTGGCAGTCTTGAACTGTGAAGCTAAGATCAAAGAGCAAGAGGGCTTCTCAGAAAATGGCTCAAGTAAATACTAAGTATTTTTTTAAAGTACAATGGAATTTCTATCCCAGTATGATACATATTTCTGACTAAATTTTGTATTCACTTTTAACATTGTTAATCAACAGTACTGCTGTAAACTGCAGATCTGCCCAGAAAGCACCTATTAAGCCTAATGAATACAGAGAGCTGTCTACATGGCTTGAAGCATTCTGTTAATATCAACTTATTTTAGTAATCATCACAAAGAGCCCACTGAATTTTTCTACTTACCCATCTCTTTGCTATTAATACCAAAAGTCTAGTTAAAGGTCTTGTTTAGATTGTTCAATCAAGTAAAACATGACTAAGCATAGACATATTACAAAGGTTAAGCATAACACTGCAAATTATGGATAGAGAATTCAGTGGGTCCCTAATACACCAGGGAGTTAGGACTCAGTTAGTTTTGCAAGAGATAATAGTAAGACTTGACAAAAACTTTTTTTTTTTTCTCTTCACATCTTCAAAATAGGAGAATACAGTTTTTGTTTATAATGTTAATTTGGGGGGATGGAGTGCATGTTTAACGTGCAAGGGTTGCCAAAACTGAGATTTCACCTCATTTACAATGTTGAGGATACATGGTTTTTACTATATGCTCAAGCACACTGTGGTATCAAAAGCCATCTAATCAGTTTTAAATCAGCACCTTATTACAACACTATGGCCAAGACAGTGAGGGAACTGGTAAAAAGCGAAGCAAAGCTTGCTAATGTTGGATTCTGCAAAGGGGAGAATCAGTATCACTGAAAGTCAGAGTCCAGATTTTTAGTCTTTGGGGTACCATTAATATAATTCAGTAGTGTTTAGATCAGTCTTTACAATACCGTCCTGGGGTTGTAGCAGTACACCAACAAAATGTTTTAGATCAACAGTATTTATAGGCTACATCATGCAGAACTACTGTGGAAGTGCTTTCTTAATGCCCTGGTTATGCTGTACACACATTATATGCAATTGGTTGAAGAACCAATTGGTAGAAGAACCTTGGACCACGCTAGGGCACATGTTACATGCTGTACTTTCTCTGGCAATTGAAAAGAATTATGACGTCCTCCAAAGAGTAGGGGTGTTTAAGTAGTAAGTTGAAATGATTGTGGCTTTTAAAATTTACTTATTTTAAAGACAATAAAATAAACTATGTTCTGTTCTTTGCTTTAAGAACTACTTTACTTCTGGGAAGGGTTATTTTTCATTTACTGATTTTGTTAGAATTACATACATACTTATAAAAATAAAAGCCAAAATACTGTTCTATTATAAAACAAACAAGGTGTTTTGAAAGATCATATGCTAACTTTTTAACTACAAACTTATCAAAATTAGACATCTGCTATTTAGTATGCATCTACCAAGGTATAGCTTTATTTCTGTTCAGATTTACAACTGGCAGATGTGGCATGATAAAAATCTTTATTTTCACAGAAATCAGAGTCAAGCCATAGATGCCGAGTGCTAATGGAAATTTATCATGAGTTATCATTTATCAAGAGTTTTAAGGGCACAAAAGATTTAAAAACTGATACTGAAATTTTCAAAAAGGTTCAACTGACTTTGCAAACTTTCCACCAGATCAGTTTTACTCTCCTCTACTGCAGTAGAAATTTGGACCCTGGTTGCCATTATCCCTTTGAAAATCTCCCTCATGTTAGTAAGAAAAATGAAGGGTTAATTCTGTAGTGTTTCAGCCAATATTTAATGAGTAAATTATTTGTTTCACTATAACTAGTTTGATTATATAGCTTATATGATAACACCTAGATGTAAAACTGTCATACGATCCTTAAGAAAATAAGGCTTACAGGTTGTGTTTATTTATTTAATCAAATCACATCAGGACATTAAAAAGAGATTCATCTAAGCAGTAAAATTCAATTTGTTTTAGGTCAAAATGATGGAAATATCTTTATCCTTAATGTTAATTTAGTTATTTTCATAGGATTACAAAATAGAACATTAAGAACTTTAGCAATAAAAAAGTTTATTTTTTAATGTAGGCAAAGTAGATTAAGAAAGAAATAATTTAAATAATTTTGTTCTTCATTTTCAACTCTTTACTCTGTACACTTACTGAAAGATGGCATAAGCTGTAAAAGCATTAGCTGCTGTTTGGCATTTTATTTAGAATCCTTGAATTTCTAGCAAGCCTTTTCATTTAGCTTGGGTTTTTTGAGCAGTTTTTTTTTTTTTTTTTTTTTTAACTTCATTTTAGGTACCCACAATAGGTCAAAACCTTTACACAAATTCATGATACAGCATTTAAGAGCTTGCAGTTCACTGTATTATTCTTAATGTTAAAAAAAAAGATCAAGCATCACAAAAAGATCAGTCACATACATACACAGATTGTTCTCATCTTTTACCTTGCTGTCTTTGGAAGCAGTAGCACCACTCATTGTTAGATATCAAACTGTCCTTGTATGTGTCACAAGAATTGAAGAACGCCCTGGTGCATGGCTCATTCTTGTCAAGGTAAATGCTTCCAAGTTCTGACTGGTCCAGCAACAGGTCATAGTTTGTATCAAGCCTGTTAAACATCCAGCCAAGGGAGTCTTTGCAAATTGGCAAAATGCTGGTGTCAAATCCTAAGAGGAAAAAAAAAAAAATTCATCTAGGAGGAAAGATGCAGCAGCTGCTCACCTCAGCTACCACAAACGTGTGCTGTATCAGGGAAGCTGCTCCAGTGGTACATAGATACAGTACAGATCTAGAAAAAAATGTATGCTATTAAAATATTACTTATAAATTATATGTAATCCTAATTTTAAAACGTCATTCAGATATAAAAAAATAAAATCACCATCAGTCTCAAAGCATTTAGAAATGTGAGTTTTCTTTGAAACATTACACCTATCGCACACACATTACGTACAGTAATTAATGATCTACCATGATTTCCTGGAAAATAATTCTGTTGAAGAATTTCAGCGATATTATAAATCAGGACAGTGAAGCTTATGTGGTTTGTAACAGAACAAATTCCAGATAACTTGTAGGAGGCCACTTTCTTTTTCCTATATGCACACTTCTTTTCCTGTTCATGTGTTATGGGTTGTACAAGCTCCTGGTGCATGTGGCCAGGCAGTTGAGTATATGTCCTAATACAGAACAAGATTTAGTGCTACTAAATACTGTTCTTCTGAAAACTTTTAAGCTAAAACTGAGCACTGAAAAAATGAAAATGGTGAATAAGGCTATAGAAAAGTTGACATGAGAGCACAGAGGAATTCCCAGTTTCTACTGTTGTTAAAAATCAAGTCTGCCTGCCTGCGTTGTCACTCTGAAAAATAATAAAAAAAAAAGTTTCTGTACTGCTAAAACAGGCCAGCTTGGAAGACTCAGTAATCAGATTTACAATCAGTTAGGATCAGTAGAGTTCCCTTTAGATATATATTCATGTGGAAATGCCCTTGCTATGGTAGATGACAATTTCAGAAAGGGAAAGAAGAACGCTTATAGCACTAAAAACTCCCTGCAGAAGTCTGACAGCCGCATAAACTCCCCTTCCCCAGAAATCCTAAATTAACTATGATTTTTTTTTGTCAGGGCAGTCTCACTTCTTCTTGCTTCCTTTTTACCTGTTGCATTCCTTATTAATTCTGCTTAAGAGAAAGGAAAGCGAGAAGAAAATAAAGCAAGTCATTTGATATTTATGGTATTTTTGATGTGTTTAACACAATTTAAAAACATCTCAATCATTCAACCAGCAGTCTTGCCCACCCTTCCGCTCCAGCCCCTGAGAGAACATCAAGACTAAACAACAATTTCTTTGTGGATTAGGAAGAGGCAAAAAGTTACACAACATGACTGAATGAATAAGGATATACAGTAGATGTGTTATTCAATTTTCTCTTTAAAAGATACCAAAATTATTTAACAGGTGTTTCCAAGTAAAAAGCGTTCTTCCACTGTAAAACATTTTGTTCAGTAAAATACTATTTATCTCTACAGTTGTGTTCCTGAAGGCCTCTTAACACTTCCCACATAGTTCTCTTTTCTCTGCTAGTATTGCTTTTAGCTAGAGGTCCTCCTCAAGACCTTGGATTCAAAAAAGGTTAAATGTGAAATGTACTGTTTCCTACTCTGCATTTTGTGTACCTTCAGGAAGGGATATGCTCCCAATTTTTTTCTGAATTTGACACTCTTGTCAGCTCACCAAAATATAAAACAAGTTGTCGAAAAAGAGCAACCATGAGGAGACATTTTAATGACTAAGATGCCAGCTAGAAGGGAATATAAGCTAAAAGTCACTTTAAAGGTGTATTCAGGGAAGCACCTCGTGGGATAAAGCAGGCCATTGTAGCTAATATATCTGCCTCTGGAATTTTGAGCATAAGAGGCATCACCTTCAAGCCTGGGACAAAGTATTTTTAAATTAGCATTTGTAGTCCAAGCTCACATCATTCATTACTTTGTATTTTAGGACACTAGAAGCTAATGTTATCTATTTAATAAACTCTACTATGTGAAAAGGGGAAAACCCCTCAAACACCTGTTTATTTTATTTCTCTCAGTCTGTTTCAAATTTTATTCTAAAAAGAAATATATTTATATGAAGAACAGTGATAGACTATTGAACACTTCAGAATTTTTATGCACCACTAAAGTTAGAATGATATATATCTGCAGAAAATTTTATCCTTTTTCCCTTGCTTCCCTTAACTAGCATTAGCCTGTGAAGTGAGTTCTTCCTCTATTTCCATTTTTCAATTTTTTTGTCACTTCTTTCTATATAGCTTTTAGATTTTAAAAATGTGTGTCTAAT